GGATTCTACCGTCAAACGGCCACTGATTTTTCCAAAAAAAAAGAAAAAAAAGAAAGAACAATACCTCGCTAATGGCCAGCAAACTTGTCGCTATTGTATCTGAAATGCAATCAGAGCTTTAGAGTTAACAGGCAAAGATTTTTGACTGAGAATAAATCATTGTTTATGACAGTCTGTGAAAAGTAGAAACCAAAAAATGACTTATCAAACTGATTTCCCCATTCAATTTATATGAAAAAATATGAGAAATATCATACCTCTTCTAATGCATGATCGCTGTAATATGCATTCGTTACAATGACATTATATTGATCTCTGTTGATAAAGTTTATGCCTTATCAGTCAACCTCTGATACCTCAGCTTTATCAGACTCCTTATCAATACTTATTCTTAGCTAGCTGCTACTAGTTTGAAATATAGACTGAAAAAAAATTGCATCAAACAGATTTTTTTAGATATAAAAACCTCTCTTACATTTGACTAAAAACATCATTGACTATTTCTTATTGATATGGCCTATGTATATTACTGCGCACGTCATAAACTCGAGATGTTCTTGACAGATCTTTATGCCTTATTTAATTTTAGCGTGTTTAAGTATCGGTAAACTATAAACATTTGCACATTCCATTATTTGTATACGGAGATAATAAGAAAACATTATCTTTCCTTTTGAAGAAAATGTAATAAAGCCAGAAATTTAAAATTGGTCTTAAAGTGTAAAGCTGATTATGTGAATGAATGTTTTTATGTACTTTTGTTTTATAGACGACTCGAAAAAAATAAATTGTGTCATTCCGCAGTAAATCATGCATCATTCATCTTATTCAAAATCATATAAGACTCGGCTGCTTTGCAGCCGAATAAGATGGCGTAGCCCTGATTCAGCGTGACTTACGAAACGAATTTTCATGCATGGACTATTAGAAACAAGGAAACGATACAAGTCACGTGCTGTATAATGGCACGCTTAGGATGACGTAATTTTACCGTTATGAATGAATTATAACACGCCGGGCAAACTGTCGCTCCACTTCAAAATTGTGGTGTACGGTAAAACGAGCGAACGGCATATCCGAGATAGAGCGGACGGCCGATTTAAACGCCTAATTGTAAGTATTGTTTATGTTTTTGTCTTGTTATTCATTTAAGTTGTATTTTTTCGAAAAACGGAAAATGTAGTTCCGTGTAGGATTGATTTAGGCTTCCAATGATCTAAGATGTTACAAAAAGAAAATAATATTAAGTCCGGGAGAACTTTTCTCCCTGACGAAGCGAACGATGATTTGTAGAATATTGAACTTCCCAACCATAAAAATGCCATACCCTTAGGATTTCTTGAAAAAGTGTATTAGTAAATTATCAACCCGTAATAAGAACTTGTCCTTCGTGTAACATAAATTACACCTGATGGATTTCTTAAATTTGTAGATCGATATTTTTCGAAAGTAGTGGAGCGAAAGGGCAAGAGATGGAGTAAAAGGTTCGATGTTGAGCGCAAGGCGGTATTAATTTGACGTATTAGGAGGAGCGTAGTCTATGCTTTTTTACATATAAAAGCTATCGAAGTTAATATAGACGTGATCAAGTGTTCAGACCGATATATATATATACCTTTTAAAGACAACTTATATAGTGTGATATCCTTTCAACGACTATAGCGTAATAAATGTAATCGCGAAGGTGTCACCCATGGCTGCCGTGTAGATTCCATTATTTATGTTCGAAATTTGGATGAGGCCCGACCATTGAATCATACACATGTATGCATGGCATAATACAGGATGCCACTTATTCGAGGTCAATCATGATTTTTCACACGCTTATGTACATTTAAAAACGTGTGTCCGTGCAAATGCGACAAAATCGAATATTTTTAGTTCTACCACGAACAAATGTTTCCGAGCAGGTAAGTGTAACTCGATTGTTCACGCCAAAATGTTATGTTTTTCGAAAAGTTAGATATTCAAGGTGCAGAACAGAAACAAAATTATGCAATGCATGGAACACATTAAATTAAATGGATCACTACTACCGAGTTCAGTTCACAATGACTTTCTGTAATTAATAGCTCTAACGTACCTGTTCTGAGCAAAAACACAAATAAGCCACGTTTTCATGAATTTGTAAGGTGGGGAAGCGCTATGAAAATGGCTGACAAGGTGTCAGTCGTTATATGGATATATATATTATTTAGATATATTGTTTACATGAGAGCCCTCGACACTTCCGTTATAGAGCCATCGACCAAAACAAAGCAGAAAAGGGTAAATACAGTTTATAATGATATACGATTTTTCAAAAATCGAAGAATGCTATGCCACGTAGAATATTTTTCTCACCAGTTTTGGTGCAGTTTCGATACGAAATACCCCAAAATGACGTTGCTAGAACTTTTACCAAATGTTAACTTATTGAAAAGTACATGGATTTCAAAAGCATGAGGTCTATTAGAAAGTATCATGAATTAATGAATATTTTAAATAAACAAAAATGTTTTACTCTTTCCTAGTTACTGCAGCACAAAAAGCGCTGAAAATTGTTTCCTTGAACAGTTTTCAGCGTTATTCATTCTTGCTGATGAATGGATGTCGATGCTGTCATTAAAAAGAGGCGAACGGCTGATGACGTTACTCAAATTTTGACGACATTCACACTTAAGTACCCTATAACTTTAACAGAAAAGCATTTTTGAAGGTATGGTTTGGAGTATTATTTAATGACGAAATGTTGACGTTTACGAATCGTATGATAAAAGGATTTCTTACCATGAGAAAATACAAGTTTTGTGACTGCAAAAAATACCGCATCTCATCGGAAAGTGTGGTCATTTTCAGTCAAAATTCACGAGAAGTAAAGCTTGCGCAGGACCAGAAATCTTTTGGCATAAGCCTTTGGATGTTGACTATGAAACATTGATTTACTCGAACACAGTTGGGATATGTTAAAATAGATGACTACTTACCGTCTGTCAATATGAATAAGGCATGTATATTATATTGCTTTAACAACGAAACAGTTTTCATTTTTAAGATCTTTGGCAAATTAACTTTTTGTAAATAGTCTTAATACCGATATGTTAATAAAAAAAATTGTTACCCTATAACAAAATATAATAAACAAGATTAACAAAGAAAGGCGGCGTGCAATGCAACAAGTCTTCTCGTTATGAAACCTATAAACTTTGGGGGGTAAAGAAATGATTAATTTATCTGTAAGTTCAAAAAATGCAAAGCAAATGACCGAGTATTATACGACGTCGCAAGGATCTTATCATAGCGGTGATATAATCCTAACGCTACTATATCAATTTAGAAAAGTGTCCATAGGGCACCTATGCCCTTACTTTATTTGCTTGCCATAGTAGGTTGATTATTTTATATTTTTCATAGTGCCGTGTTAATACTTGTAAGTATTATACATATAATGATATATCAATATTTATTATTACCGGTATATGGACTATAATGACATTATAACAAACTTTCTAATGGTGTTTGTTGTTTTGACAGCCTTAAACTAGTGGTGCCGTTGTGTTGACAAGCTGACTAAGGTTGTTCGTTTTGTTGGCAAGCTGACTGTAGGTGCATGTTGTGTTGACAAGTTAACTAACGGTGTTTGTTGTGTTGGCTAGCTAGCTAGTGGTGCATGTTGTGTTGACAAGCTAACTAATGGAGACTGCAATTGTGTTGACTAGATGACTAACAGTGTTCGTTTTGTTTACAAGCCAACTATTGTAGCATGCTGTGTTGACAACATAAATAATGGTGTTCGTTTTGTTGGCAAGCTAATTGTTGGTTCATGTTGTGTTGATTCATGTTAACAAACGGTGTTTGCTGTGTTGGCTGGATGACTAGTGGTCCATGAGCTGACTAATAGTGACAGTTGTGTTGACAAGCTGTCCAGCGTCATCTGTTGCAAAAATACGAGAAGTACGAAAAAATAAGTTTTTCTTTTTAAAAAGGGAAATCTTGTTTCGCGTTTCATGAAGAATACTATAAACAACAATTTTGCCGTTACATAAAATATTGCTATATTCGTTTGTTTCAAATTACATCGAATCGTTGGTCGTCTGCAGTGGTGTAGCCAGAACGTAAAATATTTGCAGCAATTTATCCGACGGATATATCGTACAGTGAGATAGACAATGTGAGAATAGAGTAGCTTTGTATGACTAAAATGTGGACCTATACGTCCTGTGGTTATTCGCGTGAATGCTAAATAGTATTGATCTTTGTGATTGATTTATAATATAGCAAGAATATGTTATAAGAGAACTCCTACTTATAGATAGATTTGCCTTGGTGCTTTAAAAGTGGCAATTATAAAATATTATTGCGTGCGAAAAGATAAGTTTCATTTTCTATATTATAGAATATGATAAACGATTATTCAATGCGAAATAATTGTAGTAGATCTATTTCACTAAGTATTCAGTTTAGGTATAGAATCATTTTTTTATTTTTGGTGAAAAATACAAAGAACAGAAATAATCAATATTAGACATAAAGAAGTCTTTATGTACACCCCACTCGATAATTTAAACTTGTTTAATAGCAATAATTTGAAATATAATGGCAATACATAATTTGAAATGTTATTCGTTCAAGGATAAAAATAAATGATAAGTAGATATTGAAGTAAGCGCTGGCAACCATTGAAAGTTAAAGATTACCAAGGAAAAGGTTAGTGGTTTTTTGTTGATACTTTGTTCATGTTTTGTTATTATGGATACTTAATACCTGTAAAATAAAATATTCAAAAATGGAAAAAAGCTGGTTTAAATGTGTAATAGAATTAGGAAAAGAAAAATTAATCTTCATAACGGACTTTTTGTATTTAGATTAATGTAACTGTTCAAACATCTTTTTCAGTGGTAAAGTTTAAGTCAATTTATCAGTGTTATTGAAATATAATTTCATTAACTATATGTATGAACACAATCTTCTACCTGTTGCTTGGTTTAAATATAAACCATAAAAATTATTTAAATCAAAGTACTTTTCTTAGAGATTTACAACTCACAGAAATTAAATACAAAGCTACAGAGCTACGATCACAGAAACAGGCATCGAAAAGTCATTTATGCAATATTTGATACCTGTAATAAATTAAAAGCAACAGGCACGTTACTAGGGTTCAGAAACTTTGTCGCACCAAGTAGGTTACTCTCTTTGACAAATACATGTATTTGTATAAATCATGTTATCTTAAAAATGTACGTATGCTGTAAATATGTCTTATAAAAACTGCTTATGTTTAAAACATAACTATTGAATAAAGGTGTCTTATTTGTTTACTTAAAGTTTTGACAAAAAAACAAAACAACTTCTTTCAGCACGCACAAATCTTTTGAAACAAGTGTGAACAATTATTTTTGACTTTAGAGGTATTTGAAAATATTTTGCGACATAACAATATATTGTTCCGAAATGCGCTTAATAGGTATAAGAGTATATTTTTTCATGGTATCAATAGTGGTTCAACGTGATTAGCCAATGATCCGTAAAGATCCTCATTATTCTCCAGAAAAGCGTAAATAATAAGATCAAAGACATGTAAATTGATGGTTAGCCGTTTAATTACAATAACCTTGCCGTAAAAGAAGACCAATATAATCCTTTATTGAAAGAAGACTAAGTTAACAACTTATTATAAGTAAGCTTATTATTTACTATCGATAAATATTTCAATAAATATATTTTCTACATTATGAATTAATATCTGCAGTCATTGTATGTACAACATTGGTTTATTGTAAGGATGATATATAGTCTTATTATTAAAACATAACATTTCAGGTACAAACATGGAAGTTATTACAACTGAACGTCCATCTACGAGTGAAGCGGTGGCACATTGGCAGCTAAACAAGAACCTAGGTGGTTGTCTAATAGAGTTGTATGAGAGGAATTTATGGACAGATGTAAAGTTCTGCTGTAAAGATCATGACGAAGGTGAGACAATTCATGCTCACAAGATAGTTTTGGCGGCGAGAAGTCCTGTATTCCAGCAAATGTTTTTTGGTGCATTTAAGCAGGATAAAGAAGAGATTGATGTAGAGAAAAGAGTTTTTGATCTTCTTCTGAGGTAAAAATTCTTCCATTATAATATTGAAATGATAAGATTGCATTGTCAATTCCAATTAACAAGTTTTGGCTACCTTCGAAATATATGTAAATTTAGATATAAGTAAAATTATTAATACTTACAAAGTCACCAAATTTTATATATATATTAATATGATAGAATTTTATTTTCAAATTATAAGAGAATAAAGCTACAATAAGACATATTGTCAATAAATCCATTTTTCTTAAGTTACTTCTCGAGTTTCTGAAGTTCGGCATTTCAATTTGTTGATCGCTACACATGATGCTGATCTGATCAATTCGAAATATCAGATAATTGGATAACAGTAGCAATTGTATCACCAACGAATTTGTTTATAATGTTTATAAAAATGTTAGTGGTTCAATTTATTGTTATTCAAATAGAAGATTAGAGTATGGATCTATTAAATAGTTTATTTGTATTTAACAGGTACATATATAGTGATACAGTTACACTGCATGAAGACACAGCTTCTGATTTGTTACAACTTGCTCATATGTATCAAATTTCCACGTTGGTAGAATTATGTGCAGATTATTTACAAACCATCTTAACACCGGAAAATGCATGCGATATTCTACAACTCGCAATGATGTATGAAATAGCAAGTCTTACAGAGGCATGTTGTCTTGTCATCGATAAAAATGCCATGTCTGTCCTTAATTCAGATGGGTTCATGAATTTGAGAAAAGATGCTTTGCACATGATTTTGAAAGGAGACACGTTTTTGGCAAATGAAGAGGAAATATTTCTGAAGGTTGAAGAGTGGGCTAAGCAACGTTTAGCAGAACAAAAGATGCAACCCAGTGGCAACAACGTTCGAACATATCTTGGAGAATCGTTTTATTATCTCAGAGTACCCACCATGTCATATCAGTCAATGAGAAGATGCATACAAGATAAAGATTATTTTACACAAGATGAAGAAAGTAAGATCGATGACTTCATTAACAAAGTCAACACTGCTGCTGTGACGAGTAACTCGTGTGAGCCCCGAACTTCAATTTATGAAACGCTGACATGGAATACAACAAGATCTGAAACGGAACAGGACACAAGTCATTCTCTTAATTTTGACTTTGATATTGACCTGAAGAAAAGTGTGAAGCTAATCAGTTTAAGCCTTTGCGATATTGACGTATACATTAAATACTTGCATTATATTCTGGTAGATTATAATTCAGACAATAGCACTGGGGAATCATTATCAGAATTAATTCAAGAATACACAGATAAAGTGATCCGCCTCGTGCATTATAGCAAGCGGCATCGACGTTTTGAGAGGAGAGTCCAGATATTTAATGAGAAAGAAAGACTAGATCTTGAAAAGGGTTTAATAACATCTATCCACGGTCAAATAGAAATCAAAGAATTGAATTTTAAACACACATTTCAGTTTAATCCAATACCAACGTCGTCTCATGATGTTCTTCTAGAAAGACCATTGCTATTAAAGAAAACGGGCACACCATATAGAGTCAATTTGAATTTAAAATTCAATTGTTGCCTGCAATCAAGTTATTGTCGCTATGATCGAAGTCGGGTGGTAATGCAGGGATTCAAAATGTCTGAAGACGTCAAAAGCGTAAGAGATACTATTGTAGTATCTCCCGTAGGTAAATCTTACGGCTTGCTGAAAAGCATCACATTTCAGAACGTTTCAAACCGCCAGTGATTGTTCATAGTAGAAATAGAAATAAAGAATTTTATATTTGTATATAGACAATTTAAGATAAATTTTATACATCATGTATATTTTTATTGTTTGAGCAGACATAAAATAACTGCACTTTAACCTTTATCTTCTTGAGATTAATCTTTAATTTTAATGCATTATCTTTAATTTGTTTGTAGGCATCAATATGAATTCGTAATGTTTCAAGAACGTTACGATTTGTTTCTATAAGGTGTTTGTCATAATGGGGAATACTGATGAGCCAAGAGGAAAATGATAAGACACGAATTATTTGTTAAAGTAAGATATCATCGCTTGAAATTTTTTTTGTTCTAAGTGCAATTTTGTCATTGACAGTTTTGCATTACTTTTTTTATTTATTGTCGGATTTTGAAAATTTAAAAACTACTTAACTTGATGTCGGGAGAAAAACTCAATATCGTTAAAGATTTGTGGATTTTAATGTTCCCTTGCTTAAAAACCTAAGAATACATTTGGAAATAGAAAAGTCCTTGTAACTTTTTTCAAAAATTGTTAAAATCAAAGTGTTTAATGTGACTTAGAACATTACGTCTTTTAAGCTGAATTGATTTTTGTCACATAAAATAGCATGTTTTATCTTTAAAAGGCTGCCAAAAATGTTCTCGGCTAATTATCCCTTGATTAGTAGTCTTTGAGACCACACTATTTCGTAGGCCATTTGCATCTATGACATTTGAAATTTTATTAAAATCCTTTGATTCAGTACATTATTAAGTGACATTAAAACAATAATATAAATAAATAAAGATAAAATAACCACATGAATTTTGTAGCATTTTTATCTATTTTTATAACTTAAGTCATTACAATTTAATACCTTCAAAGTGATTCAATGTCTAGAAAAAAGCCGCAAACGGGATTAGAAACTTTCAAATCCTCTAGAATGCTGGAAAATTCTTTTAAGATTTTTTTTTCATGAAAATTCAAAAGATGGTCTAATTCATATTCCTTCCAAAAGTATGAAATAGTAGTAACTATGTTGTAATGCGCTTTGCACGTTTTGTTTGTGTTCGTAAGAAGTTCTTCTAATTGTAGGTATGAAAAAAATGTGACTATAACTTAAGTATGTAATGAAAACATATCTGCTAGAAAAGACCATACAGGTAGTAGAAGGCATGACTTATATTTGAAAATGTCATATTTAAAGAGTGTCCGTGTACATTTAACATTACAAACATAATGTCATATAAAAATACATTAGAAATTCAAAGAATCTAAGTATACGTATAAGAATATTTTTCTTACTTCTGATTTTGGTATAAAATGTTTTTACTTTAAAATAAAACATTAATGCATTCTAAAACATAAATTTTATATAAAGGCATAATAGCTATACATTTTCTAACAGATACGTTGTGCCCCATAAATGCTTTCATCTTTATCTCTCAAAATCTAAACATTTGGAGTTCTGTTATATTTTCCAAAAAAAGGTCGACATTGGCCAGTATCCTTAACCATCTTATGCTCTTGTTTCTTATTGGCAATTAGTACAGTTACAGTCATTTAGTATTTTGAATGGAAGTCAAAATACTACTTTGTTGTCATTTTGCTACGTTTATTATAAAGAGAATTTAACATTCATAAGTATTATTTAGGCAAAAGGCATCTAGCATGCTATTTATCATTACTTAAAATTGCTAAAACTCATATTTGCCTGTTTTAAAGTAAACAAAATTGGTTTCTGAGACATAATGTGCCTATAATTAAAGAAACTTTACGAATTTGTTTGTTGAAATTGTATGATCACAGTTGTTTCTATCCGAAAATTAACATCCGAAATTACTTACTTATTAATTATTTGCTGTTTAATCACATGCAGTAAATTCGTGGGACTTATAAGAATAAAATGTAATGATTGGAGTAAATCTATGAAGATAGAGATCAAATAGCGTGTTCTTGTTGCTGGGTCGTTTATCATATTTTAATGCGACTCTTTTAATAAATTGGTTTTTTATGTTATGATTTATTTTTAAGCAGATTTTATGCATGTATTAGTTATGTTTAATCAGATACTTGTGAAATGTGTGCTAAAATACAATTGTCTCCTAATATTCTATATAAGAATGACTATTTTAAACATGTAGTAAACGATATGCTATTCTCATCCCTGTGTAAAAATGTAATAACAGAAATTTATTGAAATTCATGAAATTCTAACCGAATATGTCTGACTTGAATAAACTATAACAGGTCAAGTTAAGTTGATTTTTCTTAAAAACCGGACTGTTGTTTAAAATGACGCTACATATTCATATGGTAAACACCTATAGCGTCTAGAATAGGATATAGTCAAAACATGTTTATTTTACATTTACAAAGAGATTGTGTAGCAATTATCAATATTTTCATATATCAAATTTGAGCATAGTATATCTTTAAAGTATTACTGACTATACTCGAAAATGTGTAGATTGTCATGTACGATGAGAACTTAATAGTTATAAAATTGTTCAATGAAATGTGTTATTGTTAATATTTTATACGTTTGTATCTAAAAAAAAATGAAAAAACATTAAATTGAATTTTTTCAATAAAAAAAAATATCAAAATCAGGGTCTTTCAAAAATTTATATTGTAAAATTATATTTAAAGAATTATGAGTTATATAGACGAGTACATACTCATAATTATATAACTTCTAAGTCAACTTGATATAAATTTTGTTCAACATCAGATGGCGTGTTTTATAATGCATAGTTACTGATTGTCTTACAACAATTAAATCGGATACATGCAAATTGTGCTCATTAAACAATTCCTTATGTAGTTTCGGAAATACTCTTGTTAAACTTAAAATATCTTTAATTTAACTGGCAATAGTCGTAAGCGATTTAAGAAATGTTGAATCAAAGCACTTTCAATATATAAGTTTTAAACTTCAATTACGCTGTATCACAATCGATCGCAATTGAATCGTTTCCTTACTTAGTTATTTTAAGTAACAATGCTACACAATACACAGAAAATTTATACAATATCATGATAAAGTGGCTTGAACTAATAGCCAAAAGCTTATTGTAATTTTCTCTACTTCTAGCAAGACATTGCTGCAGGTTTTAGCAATACAAATTATTCAATAAATAAATACTAAATTAAAACAAAAAAGAAAATCGGGAGGAAACCGCAAGAAAGCGTTTAAAAGTTTGCATCAGGAAAGAAATCAGAGTAAAAATGAAAACGTGAGATGATATATAGATATGTGTGATGCTTTAGAATCGGGAGGGCTGCAGAAAGGTACCTTCTTTGAAGGAGAAGGGCCGTTCCAATATAAGTGCTAGTTGATATAATGTTAGTTTATATTCTAGAAATAATCGTTTGTGATTGGACTACTATGAACAGGAAGATATACAACTTCAACCAATAACAATGTTCCTTAACAATCGTCAATTGAATCCCTTTGACGTGGACCTGTTTTCTTTTATAACGAAATGGTTCTTTAAGCGACAACTTAAGATTTTTGTTCTGTGTTATTAATAAATAATTTTACAAGAAAAAATCGGCTTCTAAATGATAGGTCTATACATGAGGATGAGATGAATATCCCAATCTTATGTGGGAAATTGAGATATTATACAGCTCGCAATACTAAATGAATAGCAAGTCTTAAAGAAGAGTGCTGTAGTGTTATTGATAAAAATGCACGTTCAAATAAATCTTGGAGAATCGTTCAATCTTTTGAAAGTTCCAATCCTGTCATACCAGACAAAATTATAAAGGATATCTTACTGCAGGTGAAACCATACAGATCCCTGCTTTCAGAAATGATACACCCATCGCTGCTTCGTCGCCGCGTAGCTCATGCAAGACCGATTGCCAATTTATGAAACACTGGCTATGATAAAATATGACTCAGAAATGAATGTACAGCATTCTTTTGATTCTGACTTTAATATTTAGGTTGAGAAGGTTTTCAACTTTCTGTCCTTGCTGTATAAAGAACTATGCTCTAGATGCAAGAATTGGTAATAATTTGACGGTGACAACGGTACTAGCTACATATTATCAAACTTATTTAGAGTGTACATCAATAAAGTGATCGACCGTGTTCACTATAACTGGCTGCATCGCAATTGTGGAAGGAGAGGTGAACCATATAAACTCGGAAAGAAGAACAAGATCTTGCCAACGGTAAAATTTAAATTTTAGAATTCTAATCCGTTTCAAATGTCTCATAATTAAATCCTAGAAAGACCAATGGTATTAAGGAAAAGGGTCACACCATGCACAGCCAGTTTGAGTTTCAATCGTTATATGCTTACAAATTATTGTTTCAAAAGACGGATGAAAATGCGAGGGTTCTGATGCGAGGGTAATAATCTCATGTTTTGTTCACTGCTAAGTTCTATTGGTTCGTTTCGCCAAGCACTGCAATTTGCGAATGACACTGTATATGACAGAATTTAAGGCGAATGTTACGAAATATATGTATTTTAGTATATTATATGTATATCTTTAAATATATGCATATCTCAGCATTTTTTCACAAATGTTTAAATTTTCATCTTGTGTTATTATAACTATATAGCTTGCAACATGAATATTTATATACCTGCACTCTTTTCAAATATTGACGTGCTTATTTGATATTATAGAAAGATATTACAGCAAACTATTTTATTACTCCTACTGTAAAATAAATTGATTTAAGTTTTTTTTTAAGATAAATTGATCCAGGGAGGAAAAGAAAGAATAAAAGTTTTTGAATTGAATCGGGTGTGTGTGAATAATACAGCGGAAAGAAGTAATCAATATATCGATATATAGAGTTGGGAAGTCTTTGTGCATGCACCATTTCAATATATTGTATATTTGTTTAAACGCATTAGTTTCAAATAAAGTGACGCAACATAACTTGAAATATTATTATCTGTTCACAGATTGAAGTAAAAAACTTGAAGTAAGCCCTGACAACCATTGAAAGTTAAGGATTACCAAGCATACGGTAAGTGATTTTTAAAATTTTATATCACAATATGTTTATACTTTGCTCATAATTTGTTTTCATGGTTTATCAAATATACTGAGAATTGAAATTAAGCTGGCGTTATTTGGTAATAGATATGGAAAAAGAAAAAGTAATATTTATAACGCATTTTTTAAAAAAAATCTATTTAAATTTTAAAACATCTTTCTTTCTTCATTTTTTATGTGTATGGGCCACTGGCCTTATAAAAATCTGGAAACAAAAGTGATCCCTCGGAAGCATTTATCACAACAAAATTACGTAAGAATTGCAGACTCGGTTTGATTGAGTCTGTACATGAGGGATAATGAATAAGTGTAACATCCCTCACGCCCCCTAGAACCGGCTTGAGCGGTACTCAATTCTCAACACTTAATAGTGCTGGCATCAATGATCCCAAACTAAATAAAGTTAATAAAATAGTAAAGATTAAGTCGATTAATCAGTGAAATTGAAAATATAATTGTATTTAAATATCTAAGTATGAGCACAATACCCCAACTGTTGCTTGGTTTAAACAAAATTATTTTTTATCAAATTACATTTCTAAAAGGTTTTGATAGAAAAAACTTCTTTCAACAATAAACAGGTTTCAACAAACATTTTAAGCTTGACTGTTTTTCGAAGAAAAAAATTCTAAAAAGGTATTGATACAATCATGGCGACGTGGCCGTTGCTGTCCGCAAACTTCAACTTTGGTCATAACTTTTTAATTTCTTATTGTATTGTCCTCATACTTAGCCCCAACAACCTTTGGGACATAACCTTTAAGTAGATAAGACTTAACTTGACCTTTATTCATAAATGACATTAACCTGTAAGGTTAAGTGTCTAAATTTTGATTGATTTTTGCTACTAGCTATAACTTTGTTGTTTTTAATGGATTGTCTACAACTTGAACACACAAATTTATTAGGATAGACCTTTAAGTTAACCAGACATATCTTTAGCTTCACTTACAAATGATCTTGACCTTGAAGATCAAGTTAATGAAATTTTCTTTTCTTTATTGTTGTTTCGGGCTATAACTTTTTTTATTAATGAAAGTATTGACTTCATATTAAAAATACAATATTCTTTAGGATAAGCCCTTCATGTTTATTAAACTCAAATTGATCTTGGCTAATTTATTACATTGACCTTAAATGTTTAATTATTGAAGTCTATCTTATTTTTGCTATAACTGACTGTAACTTGGTAATGAATGAATGGATTGTCTCCATATTTGCACAAAACAACCTCTGGACAAGACATTCTTAAATGTTGAACTGACTTGAAATATTTAACTTTGATATCATTTGACCTAGATTATTTGGCGAAGTGACCTACTTTCTCGTTCCTTGATATACAGATATGAAACTTTGACCTGTCATGTGCACAGCTTTAGATGTTACAATGATCATTGTACATTATAGTAATGTTTCATCCTTGGAAAAAACAACACGTGTGACTAGATCTACCTATTGAAATAAGAAAAAAGAAAAACTTTTTTAATTATAATTTCTTTTCCAAGTATTTGTTTTAACCTTTTATTTGTTTTTTTTTAAAGTAAAAATGTCAAGCGTTTTGCAGTTGCGCTTCTTTTAAAATTTTCTTTTCATATTATATTTGTTCAATGGGATTGACCAATGAGCCAAAAAGATCCTCATTAAGCTACAGTATACTCCTTGAGAAAATCGTTTTATAATAAGAATAAAGATAAGTTCGTAAAAATATGTAAACTGATGATTAGAGATTTATTTACATTAATAATTCTGCGGTAAAAGAAGAAATGGAATAAAGCCAAAAATCTGTTTAATGAAACAAGACTAAGTAAACAACTTACTATTAATAAACTGCCGAATATCGATTAATATTGATGAAGTTTTCTTCATTTTGAATTGGTATGTGTTCAATATTGGTTTAATGCAAGGATAAATAGATATTTTTTGATATTAAAATATACCATTTCAGGTACAAACATGGAAGTTATTACAACTGAACGTCCATCTACGAGTGAAGCGGTGCCAGATTGGCAGCTAAACAAGAACCTAGGTGGTTGTCTAATAGAGTTGTATGAGAGGAATTTATGGACAGATGTAAAGTTCTGCTGTAAAGATCATGACGAAGGTGAGACAATTCATGCTCACAAGATAGTTTTGGCGGCGAGAAGTCCTGTATTCCAGCAAATGTTTTTTGGTGCATTTAAGCAGAATAAAGAAGAGATTGATGCAGAGAAAAGAGTTTTCGATCTTCTTCTGAGGTAAAAATTCTTCCATGATAATATTGAAATGATAAGATTGCATTGTCAATTCCAATTAACAAGTTTTGGCTACCTTCGAAATATATGTAAATTTGGATATAAGTAAAATTATTAATACTTACAAAGTCACCAAATTTTATATATATTTTAATATGATAGAATTTCATTTTCAAATTTAAAGAGATTAAAGCTACAATAAGACATATCGTCAATAAATCCATTTTTCTTAAGTTACTTCTCGAGTTTCTGAAGTTCGGCATTTCAATTTGATGATCGCTACACATGGCGCTGATCTGATCAATTCGAAATATCAGAGAAATGGATTACAGTAGCAATTGTACCACCAACGAATTTGTTCATAATGTTTATAAAAGTGTAAGTGGTTTAATTTATTGTTATTCAAATAGAAGATCAGAATGTTGATCTTTAAAATAGTTTATTTGTATTTAACAGGTACATATATAGTGATACAGTTACACTTCATGAAGACACAGCTTCTGATTTGTTACAACTTGCTCATATGTATCAAATTCCCACGTTGGTAGAATTATGTGCAGATTATTTACAAACCATCCTAACACCGGAAAATGCATGCGAGATTCTACAACTCGCAATCATGTATGAAATAGCAAGTCTTACAGAGGCATGTTGTCTTGTCATCGATAAAAATGCGATATCTGTTCTTAATTCAGATAGGTTCATGGATTTGAGCAAAGACGCTTTGCATATGATTTTGAAAGGAGACACGTTTTTTGCCAATGAAGAGGAAATATTTCTGAAGGTTGAGGAGTGGGCTAAGCAACGTTTAGCAGAACAAAAAATGCAACCCAGTGGCAACAACGTTCGAGAATATCTTGGAAAATCGTTTTATTATCTCAGAGTTCCCACCATGTCATATCAGTCAATGAGAAGATGCATACAAGATAAAGATTATTTTACACAAGATGAAGAAAGTAAGATCAATGATTTCATTAGCAAAGTCAACACTGCTGTTGTGACGAGTAACTCCTCCGAGTCCCGGACTTCAATTTATGAAACGCTGACTTGGTTTACAGCAAGAGCAGAAACGGAACAGTACACAAGTCATTCTCTTAATTTTGACTTTGATATTGACCTTAAGAAAAGTGTGAAGTTAATCAGTTTAAGCCTTTGCAATATTGACGTATACATTGAATACGAGCATTTTCTTGTTGGTTATCAAAGACAAAGAATCATCAACTCCCAAAAATCATTATCAGATTTCTTTGAAGAATACAACGATGAAGTGATCCACCTCTATAATCGTTCCTGGAATCGCAGGAAGTTTGTCCAGATATGTACTGAGAAAAACGAAATAGATCTTGAAAAGAGCTCTTATCCAGCAATCCATGGTAAAATTCATATCCCAGAATTGAACGTTACACAAACATTTCAATTTAATCCGTTACAAACGTCTCATGACGTAATCATAGAAAGACCAGTGATATTAAAGAAAAGAGTCGCACCATACAGGGTCAAGTTGAGTTTGAAGTTCAATTGTTGCCTACAAACAAATAATTTATGCAATAGACATATGCAAATGCAGATCTTCAAAATGTCTGAAAACACCAATAGCATGAGAGATAATATTGCAGTATCTCCCGTACGTTCTACCCATGGATTGCTGAAAAGTATCACGTTTCAGATTGTTTCAAACCGCCAGTGATAGTGACCTAAATAGAAAGAAAGACCTTGAATGTTGTATATAGACAATTAAAATTTTTATACATTATTTATACTTTTATTGATTGCGCTGACATGAAACAAACAACACTCAATATTAAGCTTTACCTCCAATGAATTAATTGTTCAAATGTGCATGAATTTGTTTGTTTTAATATGAATTTTTAATTTTTAAATAACGTTACAATTTGTTTGTAGGAAAAGGATAAGACACAAAAGAGTTTTAACGTTACATATGTATTCTCACAGAAAAGCAAAAAAGGTAAGGGTTAGAATGCAGCATTCCATACATAGTTTATTCCTTATCTTATATTTTTATATTTTAATATATTTAAAAAATCCGTCCGTTGCCGAGTGGTTAAGATCGTTGACTTCAAACCACTTGCCCCTCACCTCTGTGGGTTCGAATCCCGACAGGGACTTTGGATTCTTTCTAAGTTCCGCTAGTTTAGGGGAAATCGGGTTCTACTGGGTCCCGTTCGTCCCTGAAATCACCCGGAAAGGGGGCACCCTGAGGGTTTTTTCCTCCCCGAAAAACCTGAAACGCCCCGATAAAAATTAACTGTGTGTGTACGTAAAACCCAAAAAAACAAACAAAAATGTTTAAATAAATTTTTAAAACTGCCAGAAAAACCCCCTTTTTAGGGATTTTTATATTCGGCTGTTTTTTTTCCTTCGATATATTGTATAGAAAAAGGGAAAACAATAGAAACATATTTTTTGGATATTTTTGATATTTTCAGTAATTATAATATTTTCGTTTTATACAATACTGAAATAATATCTCACATACACTAACGCCACATATTTGATCAAATATTTTGAGTTTTTTTAAGTCTGTTTCCACATAAATTGTTGAATTCTGCTGCGGAGTCGCACCAATTAAATTAGAAACTAGTCAATATGAAAGACCGTTATGTAACAGAGATGTAGAAAATGAAAAACATGTTCTTTTGAAATGTCCACAATGAACTGATATGAGAAAAAACTATTTGGTAAAGTAAAGAAGATTGATAATGGATTCATTATGTTAAATGATATTAACAACCTTTTTTTACTGTCCAATAGTGATATTGTAAGAGAAATGGCATAATAAATCCTGTCATTTTTTCCTAGAAATCGCCTTTTTTACTCTACTTTTCATAGTTATTCATTAACTTTATGATTACTATAATGAGCATATCATCTTATCTAAGTTAATGTATGACGTTAGTGCCTTTCTTTTTATGACGTTTATTTTTAAGCAGATTTTATTTTATATTAGCATTTTCTCTCTTTTAGAACTGATACCTGTAAAATGTGTATAACAAATTATGATAGTCTTCTGGTATTCTATATAAAAATGACCATTTGTAAACATGTAGTTAAAGTATTACTGATTATACTCGTATATGTTTAAAATGTCATGTATGTGTACATGTAATGGATCAGACTTTAAGGGTAAAAGACTAAATAATAATTCAATGAAATGTTTATTGTTAAAATCTTAATTGTGTGTGTGTGTGCGTGCGTGCGTGTGCGTGTGTGTGTGCGTGCGTGCGTGCGTGCGTGTGTTTTTGTTGTTGTTGTTTTTTGTTTGTTTTTGTTTTGTTTTTTGTTTTTTTAAATGAAAGAGAAAAGTATTGAGTTATTTCAATAACAAAAAAATCAGAGTATTTCAAGAATTTAAATTGAAAACACGTACTTAAAGTATTATTGACTATATATGTGTGTATTACGTCATGTACAGTTGTGTATATGTATATGTGATGGATGACACTTATATATACTAATAAATAATTTAATGAAATGTGGTATTGTCATTATGTTAATTATACGTTTGAGGAATAAGAGTATTTGAAAAATAAAAATTGTAAACTTATATTATTATAATTATAAGGTTACCATAATTATATATATCTTAATGAACTTGATGAAATGTTTGTTCAACGTCACTTGTTTTAAAAAGCATATGAACTGATCAGCCTATAACAATTATATTAGATACATGCAAATAATGATATTTAATGTTTCATGTAGTATTGGAAGTACTCTTTGTTTAAAATATCTTTATCTTGCAATTATCGTAACCAATCTGAGAAATTTTGAAGCAAAATCAGTTAAATATATGTTTTAAACTTTAATCACGCTCTATGACTTTAACAAAATATCTGTTTTCACCTATGAATCGTTTTTACCTACTTGATGTTATGTTAGTTAATATTTCATCAATACTCGTTTGTGATAGGTCTGCTTCAAACAGGAAGATTACAATTATACAATTACAACCAATAACACTGTTCCTGTAAAAACATAGTCATTGCTTAAGGGGAGTGGGGTATGAATATATAAGTAAAGAATTTAATCACGATATCTGTAACTGACTTAATCGTTGTGTTTCGCATATCTTGATTAAATAGTTTAATAGAATGATAGTCTTTATGGCATATATTTTTAATATATATGTATAGCATAATTGTAAACTTTTATACATAGTAAAACGCTTAACTTTAATACATATATATCGTAGAACGCTAAACCTTATAACCAATAAATCTTAGAACGCTAAACTATATTTATCCATCTAAAACCACTTGGTAGAACTACTTTCAATCCGTATTAAGTATGTTCTTTTCTTTTCGGTCTTGACGTGTAAACGTGTATGTTCTGAATCAGCATGATCAAAAAATACTGATCAAATGGAAACAATTTTCAGAGGGGGGGGGGGGGCACCCGAACTCACTTTTCCGAATACATCGCAGCAACCGCGTGCTTCGTCTATTATACACCTATAAATAAATATAGTTCCGTGTTGTCAAATACGTTTCGTTGAATCATTTGAAGTTCGTCACCTGCGATTCTTATTCATTGGATAAGAAAACGAAAATAGCACAAAGTGATCAATTTGTCGTATTATCGTGTTTTTCTCTGACGCCCCGCGGAGCAAAAATACGATATGGCACAAATCAGCAACCATATAAAACGCTTATATTTATATTAAATTGAATACATTATGTACGTTTATGCTATTCTTGAAATAAATGATATAATGTAACGGCTGAGACAATACTGGACTTTATTATTATACATGTAATTACAAATGCATGTTATCTTGAACATTATTCAATATATAGATGTGCATGTATTAATATTTCTCATTTATAAAACTCCTCATTTAGTGATAACAATGCTACTTTTAGTGCCATCACAATCTGTTGTAATATTTTAATCTTCCTGTTTCATAAATGCTTACCGCTTTAAATATAAAATAAAATCATGTAATAAAATGATTCATGGATGATTGGTGAAGATGAACACTGATATTTTGGTAACAGTAGAGCGTGAATGAAATAGAAAATATAAAATGAGTGTAGATTCAAAACTGAATTTATTGAACGAGTTGTATATAATTATATTATGCGAGCATCTGGTAGAACGCAAATGACTTCACGTTTAAATATATGCACGGTCGTGCAATACAGTTTTTACGGAAACGCAAAAGCGGCACGGGTATCTGAGTAGATGCTTTATCACATAAACCGCGGTGCATGAGTGTAATAAAGCAATTTAAACATTTTGACGTGACGTCATTTGCGCTATATACAAACATAGCGTAAAAGCACCCTTATGTTAACGTTACACAATTAGGGACACGTCAATGAAAAATGACTCTTTTTGACAGCTGGCCGTTCTTATTTTAGATATATGATAAAAAGAATACTTTATTCGTGTAGATTCATTATTTAATTTATTGAACTCGTTGAATAAAACAATACTATGCGCGTCAATGAAAGAGCGATTCTTTTTCACTGAGGCTCGCATAATATTATTATTTTCAATCGTTCAATAAATTAAAATTTATAAGTAACTTTGTCATTACTTGTTTCTTTCAGTTTCGGTTTAAAGAAATTCATTACGTATTTAAAATCATTAAAATCTGCAGATATTATAGGTATTATATGTAAAGCATGTAAACCTCTGGCATCGAAAAAAACGAATTTGACTTGTAGAGAACTGTCACGTCTTATTGTTCTGTATCATAGTTTGGGGACCTTTCTGTTGAAAATGTGTCATAGTTAAATTGTATACATATACATGCACAGTGCGTTAATTTGAGTGCAGGTATTATTCCGCACTGCAAAGCATGCCCATTGATTGGTTCATTTTGTCTGGGGTTTATTGTGTCGACGTGGAAAGGGAAAGCGATAGAAATATAATATTCAGATGCTCGTTCATTGGTTCCTTTTTTCTGGGGTTTCATATTGTGATATCAGGGAACGTGTTTTTATTTTTGACTAAAGAACATCAAAACACTCGGCAATCTGATTTATACTCGGGGGCTACGCCCCTTCGTACAAATCAGATAGCCTCGTGTTTCGATGTTCTTTCTATTACATAAAAGTGGAAAATTGAAAATGTGCAGGCTCAGTTTGATTGAGCCTGTTCATGAACTGTAGCATAAATACCTACAAGCTACTGTCAACATCCCCTTACGGCCAGTTTGAGCAATATTCTTTATTTATATATGACATGATGAAACTTGAATTTAGATAAACCCGCAGATGTGTGATGTGATCATGGAACTCTCAATGTGACAATATCGTGCTAATTAATGAAAAGATGCTTATGGTCCCAAGTAAAGGAATGCGTGTGTCCTATAAGAGAACATCATGTTCGGAAATCAGAGATTATTAGACTTCTATATCGCAGTTATACGACAAAAAAAAACAACAAAAAAGAAAGTAACAACAAGAACATAGCCATATTCAATATGTTAAATTAAATGTGTGTGCATAAAGAAACATTTTAAAATTAATATACTGAGATTGAATGTGTGGCTGTTTTTGTTATGGATTCTACGCGAAATTTCAGAAAAGAATAGTAATTTCTTTGAAAGGTTACTATAAATAACTAAAGAATGACATGGTGGGTATCCCACCACAAATAACGTAATGGTAAACCATTCATTTAAAACCATTTACTGATCTATACTTACACATGTACTTTATACAATCGATTGTCAACTCACGTGAGCAAAACAAATGCTTGTACATGTTTAGTATATTTAACGCACAAAAACACAAGTTTATTTTGGGAATAAAGAACTGGTTGGTTTAGACATTGTTATATATATTAAACCTTTATGTAGATGTAGACAGACGATATAAATGTTTATATAAGTTTATATATATATTAAACAATTAAATAAAAGGAAAGTATTTTTTTTATTTGGGGGGGGGGGGATTCACCGTTTGTTTATATAAAAATACTTTCCCTTTATTTAATAGTCTACTTTTACTAGTTGATGGATATCTGGATTCTAAGATTAAGACATAGGGCAGTTACTGTAAAACTGCTATATTTTAAACACAAAATCTATAAAAAAAATAAAGCAGAACATAATTATTTAATGTATTATCACAAAACACACTAAACGAGTTATCAAAACGAATTATTATTATAATTATGAAAAAACAAATATCTGTATATTTTGTAGAAAAGTTATACACAGACAACATTTTTAAACTGTGATTTCGAACACACTTAGATAAAAATCAATATTATAAATCGATATGTATTTTTAGATTAAAAACAGAACATTTCAAGTTTAAAGTTTTATTTACATATTCTCTGTTTGCAAAATATAATACATGTCAATAACATTACATACAATTAGCCACATGCATAGCAGAGAGCAACACAAAGTTCTAGTACAATTCATATGTTCATACATAATAATCAATACATATTAACGAAAACAATTCAAACACATATAGAAAAAAATTTTTTTTTTTTTTTTTTTTTACATGCTGTAAGTTAGTAATTATCTATACATGTCAAAAAAATGTTTTGTATTATCGAGCCCACTGTTACGTTGGCATATCTCTGCCACCAGATAACCATATAACGAACTAGTTCATTAAGCGGTTAGATAGTTACGTAACTAGTTAATCATTTAACTAACTAGTTAATTAAGTGGTTAACTAGTTACGTAACTAGTTAACCACTTAATATTAAGCTGGTAAAATAATAGAAGGATGACAGTTGTAGGCACAAACATGCATTTATTTCCCGTCATGACCTTGTATTTATTGAAAAAAATAACTAGTTACGTAACTATTAACCACATAAATAACTAGTTAATTTAGAGGTTAACTAGTTATGTACGTTACGGTACTGTAGAACACTAAAGGAGCACGAATATGATAACGTTATCAATATCAGTTATATTTTCTTATCATTTTTAAAAACTAGAACATGAAAATTATGGGAAAAATTTTTTTACACGAAAATTAAATTTTTTTCTTTTTCTTTGTGCTTTAAATAAAACCCGCAATAAAATTTCCCTTTTATAATTTTAAAAATGATAAAACCCAAAATTGTTAAGCAACCCGAAAATGAAATGTCGAAAATTTTTTTGTAAAAAACCCCCTTTCGTATAAATTTAAAGTTTTAAAATTGGGAAAAATTATTTTATCTTTTTGTCTTTCTGAAATTACCAATCTACTATTATTCTTGATTTTCAATTGACCGAGACTTTGAACTTCAATAGAATAGTGTAATGGTCCGAAAATTATACATGAAGGATGTTATTTTATATTAGTCATCTAAAAAAAAGAATCAGAATAAATTAAACAAGAATTTGTTATTTCAAAAGTTGAATGTATGTACCGGTATATGGTTTTCAGTGCAAATTCTTGCCAAAGTCTATATATGCACATGCAACAATAAATTCAACATATAAATATAATAACATTAGTTTCATACTTGTGCAAACTTATTTCAAAATTCTTTGATGAATTAACAAGCTGTGAACTAGATTTAAGAAAGGGTCTTTTTACAGAGTTTGTTAAACATTGAATTCTAAATTTTACCTGGACCTTTTAGGTACGGTCTAGATGTTTCGCAAGATATGTCTATTATTGTGAACATTTGCGCCAAGTTATTTCAAACCCTATGATGTATGACAAAGTTATGGACCGAACACAAAATACACAATCACTCAAAAAATGTTGTCCTTTAATCTCCAAGTGTGTCCTTGACATTGTAGTTAGCGGTCTGGGTGTTGCGTCGTCTTATTATGGTGAAGAGTTTTTCAAGTAATTAAATATTCCTTCCTTGAACGGATATGTAACGGATTGGACAAAAATGATGGCGGTCAGACAGAAAGACAGACTTAGTTCATTTCTATAACCTCCTGTTTTCCTTTAAATACGAGGGTAAAAAAACGCGGCAAAACTATATGTAGTGCTTTAATTAAAATAAAACGTCTACCATCAAACACATCCAATGACAAACTTAATGTTGATACAATATAAATGATATCAAAGCTTAGCATTAAAAAACATGGCAAACTAGTATTCCAACATTGTGTGTTTTAAACTCTAAATTTAGATAATTCTTTCAAAGATTATGCAGTCAATTTCAATAATTTTTCTGTAACTGAAATTCTAAATACGAGTAATATTAAAAAGCAAATATAATATAAACACGAACCCAAAATAACAAGACATTTATCAACTAAAATTAACAAGATTTACAAAGTTAAATTTACAAGACATTTATAAACTAAACCTTCACTTTTTTTGAAAATCAGAGACCTTTTCACTTCATTTGACAGTGTAAAATCGGAGCCCAAATTTTGTTATCATAATTAAGTTAAACATTATATATAAAAAAATCTCGCACTTGGATATTCTCATCCCTGATTTCAGTGTTACACAATGGACACACAGTTCTAACTACAAACCATTTCCTTAAACAATCATAATGAAAGATATGATTACAAGGTAATTTCTTTGCGTTTGTCATTTCAATGTAACAAATGGCGCACTCATGCGTGTCTTCTGCGTCATGAAAAAACACATCTTGTAGGTTTCTAAGAAGTGTAAATATTCTTTGTCTAGTTTTGTATCTGTTAAATTCATTTAATCCGAGGATTGCGGTCACTGCTACAAAACTGAACAAAGCAAGGCAGAGACGAATAAACCACCATCCCTTGAAAAATGGACAGATATATCTACAATAGCACTGTACACAGTTCAATAAAAGTAGGACAAATGTTTTACAAATCATAGTATAATGTAGAAAGTCCTCGATTTTAGTAAGATGGTTTGATGTATACCACGTGCATTTTATTAAGACAGATTCTAACATTAAAGTGACTGTAAGAACAACTAAAGAGCAATTTCCGGATGCAAAAAATAGGAGCCATGGACTTAAATTCAAATTTCTAGATACAAGCAAAGTAGACAAGGATGGAATAGTGACAAGTAATCCGCTGAGAATAATCGCACGCATGTAGAATAATACCCCAGGGGAAGTTTCGTTATTAATTGCTTGAAAAATTTTCTGCTCAAGAACATCATGTGTCTGAAATATAATAGCATACATGGTCAAAAACGCTATAAGCCCCATAGCATTAACTTTTTCCTCATCTTCCAAAGCCAGCACATTTGCTTCAATAAATGTAATAAGTGCAGTACCTTCGACAATTTCACCAATATCAGCATTGAAAGCCTCAGTGAGGTTGATTTCTGTTGTCAGGAACCAGTTACCTAGGGCAACAGTAACGTTGGACAATAAACCTAAGACGTAAGAAATAACAAGTACAATAACATGCGTAGTGCACCATCTTGCAAGAACTTCTAGGCAAGTGTTTAATGACATAAACGACAATATCGGTCTTTGATAGACTGTTACCTCAATTAATAAAATTGTTGTTAGATAAACAATCGCAAAGAACGCCATGGAATCTCTCACAAACCATTTTCCTGGAAACATATTCTGTCCTTGATTTCGGATCTCTATACGACATTTTAAATCTTTAATTGCTGATTTATATTTATTTTTTGTTTCAGTTTCATTTGTTTGATTTTTCTTGGCGATCAGAGACATAAGCTTGTTTCTATCAACTGTTGCATCTATGATCAGCAGTGAGACAACCTCAAAAACAATTATTACAATCAGTAAAAAAATGTCAATCCAGTACGACAATTCTGACATAAAGGCAGGAAATATACTAAGAGTGCTCAAAATTCTGGGAACCAGTGTTGACAGTAATCCAATATATAGCAATGATGGACCATCGTATTTCGATCTATGACTTAATGCTCCGGGCCTTGTGCAAAGATATATCAGTTGCAGTATAATTGAGCAAGTCAATGGTAACCTTACATTGGCTGTCACATCTGACCACACCATCACGTTCTTATCATGACAAATTTCACAGGCTTCATCTTGGTATGTCCAGTAGTCGATGTATTTAATCCAGACCATTATTATGTCGAATGTAAGAGTAATGTAGGCTTGAAGAAGAACTCCGCTGTTGAAAGCCCAAGATCTGACCAAAAAATGAGCCACTGTAGAATATACAAAGAAATATAAATATTGACATATTTATCATAACTTTCATTATACATGCATGTAGTTAAAAATGCTATCTGCTCCAGTGTGGTGTGATTGGTACACGACTGTGACAAAGTTAACGTAATATTCATGTATATTTCAAAACTGGTTATAATATCTGTTTATAACAAAAATTAACATGTTTAATTCCAGTACTTACAGATACATTATATAGTGATTCTAATTAATAACTTAAAATACAATCTTGAACCAAACTTGATTTAAAGTGATTATAATGTTCATATTGAGCGCAAACATAATCATAATTATCGCCATTCAAAAGAAAAAATCTTGTGCGATTGAAATAGCAATAGATAGACGGTGATGATTCCCAAAAAAATATTTTGACCGAGTTTCGATTTTTCCGTACTAAAATATGTAAGAGTACCGAAACAGTGCCACGTGGTTTAATTTGAATAATAGCCTACGAGTGAAAGTTTGGTCGCCCGAGAATTTCAGATCCGGTTAGAAAATAGATCGACGCGATTTCTCAAAATTTTATTTGATGAATTTATAAAAAATATATGCAGAGAAACAATAATTATATTTACATGGGCGATTTCAAGTCGGAGGGGAGGAAGCATGTATCTAACTATTTAATCAATTATAATTTTAGCGCCACTGTTTACTACAAATATCAAAATCAAAGCAGTGTACTTGTTTCACTATCCCGGATTCCGTGCATTCCGGATCAGTCCTGTACAACGTGTCACAGTGTACTAGAAATAAAACGGATGAAAGAATTCCGTATTGAAATAAAAGAAGGTATCGAACTGTCTGTTTTCAGAGCAATAATGTTTAAATATAAACATTTTTAAGTTTCATTAATTACATCTATGTAATGTTTAAAAACATAAATTTTAAAATATATGTAAAACGATAGTATCCCTGTCTTCTTCTAGAGGCGTGCTGCTATAACGGTAAATATATAAATTTTAATTCCCACGTTTATTAGGTTGTATTTATAGTAGGTATTATTTGCCCTGTACTTCACTTCAGTGTTGTTATATTTTTCTGGTCCTTCGGGATCATTGATGACAGCACTCTTGAGTGTTGAGAATTGAGCACCACTCAAGCCGATGCTCGGGAGTGAGGATGATTCACTTATTCATTATCCCTCATGTACAGTCTTAATCAAACCGAATCTGCAATTATCTTGTAATTTTGTTGTGATTAATGCTTCCGAGGGATCACTTTGTTTCCAGATATTTTTATCTTCATTACGACTAATCGTTATACATGTCTCGCAAAAACTTATGTGCAAATTGCCATCTGAAAATGTGCATTGTATACAAAAAATTGTTTACTCTACTCAAAATCATAATTTCAGAAAAAACTACAGACGCTTGGTGGTCTGATCCTGCCCCCAGCATGATACTCTCCTGTTAACACTCTACCAAAACTAGTTTAATATTTAAACACGAATGGGACATCTATTACAACGATAAAACTGGTTTTCAAATATTTTCTACATATATGAAAAAATACCGTATACCATCAAGTCTCAATAAAGTAAAGATTGCAGACTCCAAAATGTAAAGTGTCCAACCGATACGCGGCCTGAGCCTAGAATATTATGTTAACGCTCTTGGCCGGGACCAAACACTATAATTCTCTCACGACTAAACTTGTAATGAAATCGTCACTTTCGGGAGACCCAATATGACCGCCAAATTCAAATATTTATATTGTACATTATATAGAATAAAGCAATTAGGAAACAACACACGGTGCATCTTGGTAATAGTTTAATAACAAATAAATGTATTTTAAGACAGCGGGACATGACGATGGAATGCTCGAGTAGTCGAAAGCATGTACACCGTTTGTGTATCGGCTTGGTAGAGCCGGGAACTCTTCTCGTATTTGTTGGACAGAAAGCACGTTGATTTTCATATTAAAATGTGATGTATAACTGTTTATTCTGATTGCATCTAGAAGATAATTCGATATTCTCTTGATTTACACCGGAAAGTTACGGTAAGGTTTATTTAATAATGATTTATAATTAAGGTTTTATTAGTTTAGGGAATTCCTGTTTACATTTTGGAGTCAGTAATCTTTACTTTATTGAGAGTTGATGCCATGATGGTATACGGTATTTTTTAATGGTATAAGTTCATCTAAAACTGGTTTTCAAACATTTTTTTACATATACGAAAGTAATACCTCTCGATATTATTGGTATTTTTCATATGTGTTAAATCATATGTCCCCTTAGTGTTTGAATATTAGAGTGTTTAGAGGGACATACCACGTTGGGGGCGGGCAGAGTCTAATCCCCACTGTCTGTGTCTAAAATAGCACAAACAGGCCTCGACACTAACTTTTTTAGCAGGTGGTACGCCGGACCACTAGATGTGAAAGTTAGGTGGTCCTTCCAGAAGTCAGGTGGTCAGTTATCATTATTATATCTTTTTACTGCAAATGTAGAAAAAAAATGTTTAACTTTTATGACAAAGATGTATTATTAATAGATGTATTTTTCCAGTTCCTTTCGTTTGCTGCTGTTATTCAAGTATCTGAAATTTAAGTTTATCCGATATCATATAATAATATTACCATCATCGGATACTCACAGTTGATTAACATGTAACATAACATAAATGTTAATGGTTCCGCCGTGGTTATCAGACGATGCATAATTACTAGCACCATTTGAATGAATTTTGTACCTAAATTTATATCACAAACTCTTAACTCTTTTAACTTGCATAAACAAAATTTTAGCGACTTAAAATGAAAGTTAAATATTGATTACTTAAGAACTTCTTTAACTAATCAGAGATTAATGAACCATATACATGTACATCGGACATAGATTTTAAACAAAATTATATAACATGTTTTTGACAAAATCGCCATTCTCCCAAATGAGCCTTGCATCAACCAGAAAATTCAAGTGGTCCTACGGACCAGTGGGTTTTAAAATTAGGTGGTCCTTGCCAAAATCAAGTGGTCTCGGACCAACGGACCACCGCTAATGTCGAGGCCTGACAAATAAGGAATAAACCTCCGTATCTTACGATGAATAGAACTATATCAATAATCCAGTAGTTAGAATTTGGAATGAGCAGAAACCACTGATGTATAATGAACAACAGGGGTAGCCGTAGAAGCACTTCGCACCAGTATTTTCTCCTTGCTGATGTGTCATCCATATAATTGTCACATTTGTCACCAATATCTAGCGACATTTTCTCTATATATCCGTACAATCTCCGTGAATGACTCTCAACATACATAACTCCTAATTTGAGAGATTCCATAATAAAATTGTATGTCCTTGTCCAGTACAAAATATCGAATGTATCAACCCATGAAGAAATGGCTCTTTAAATATCCATGATCTGCGGTGAATTGGAAAAACCAAAAACAGTTCACGTTCTATAAATAGAAAAACTGACCTATTCTATTACATATAATGTATAAAAAAAACATTGTCATTGCTAAGGTAGAGGGGTATGAATATGTCAGTCTCGATATTTGTAAATATTTCCAATAACTGACTTAATCTTTGCGTAACGAAAAATCTTGATTACAAAGTTAGAGTAAAAGATACTTTTTTGACATAGATATATACGAGATATTAAAGGTAAGCATTCTGCTATATATATAGTGGAATGCTTACATTTAATATCTCGTAAAACGCAAACTTAAATGTATCGTAGAAATAGAGAATATTAAATGAGTGTAGGTTTCAAAACTGAATTTATTTAAGCGAGTTGTATAAAATAATATAAAGTGGGCCTCTGGTATAAAGCAAATGAACGTCAACGTTTAAAATATATTCACGGTCGTACAATACAGTTTTAAACGGAAACGGAAAAGCGGCACGGGTATCTGATAAAGATGCTTTATCACATAAACCGCGATATTACACTGGTCGTGAACCTCATTTGCGCTATATACATAAAAAAACGCCCTAATGTTACGTTACACAATTAGCAGGCACGTCAATGAAAAATGACTCTTTAAAAGTTTGCTGTTCTCATTTAGATATGTGAAAAAAAGAATATTTCATTCGTGTAGATTAATTACTTAATTTCTTGAACTCGTTGAATAAAACAATTTCTTTGCGCGTCAATGAAAGAGCGGATTATTTTTCACCGAGGTTCGCATAATATATTATTTTATTCAACTCGTTCAATAAATTTAGTAATGAACCCACACTCATTCAATATCCTCTCATTAACAGGAGGTTTCAAATTTCCATTTTATTTAGTTTATTTATTTAGTTATTTAGTTCAGCCCATTGTTTTCTCGTTTAGGGCACACGATTTTTATTACTTGGGGACCATACGCCGCTTTTCATGGAATGGCACGGAAGTGTCACATTGAAGGTTCCATGATAACCGCCGTATGAACACATCTGCGGATGTTTCTAAATTCAAAATTTTACTATTTCATGTTTAAATGTTGAATTCTGCTTAAGCCGGTGCTAGGGGGCGTGGACGGTAACTTTGCACTTTCCAGTACCGTCCATGAACAGGCTCAATCAAACCGAGCCTGCAACATTTTCAATTTTGCCGTGTTGGGCTTTCTTTGGGGATTCTGTGTTTATCTATTTTATGATCACATCCGTGTTATTTGTGCCGTGTGGCGGCTGTAAAAAGTCTCCCCGTACATTTAATCAATGATGTTATATTTTCGATCCTTGAAGATCGTTCAGCACGACATTATTGTTGTGCTTGTGGTATTTTTAATTTCAACTTTTCGGCATTTTCTAGTTGGGTGGTTCCAATATTCCTACTTGAATAATGTTGAATCACCCTAAGGATATGTTGGCCTGCTTTTTTAAATTTGTCTTTTGACGTCTTATCTGTGATACGCAGGCTTCATAACCTCTGATCCCCTTTCAAAATTCCATTTTATTTAGTTCAGCCCATTGTTTTTTTCGTTTAGGGCACACGATTTTTATTACTTTTGGGGACCATACGCCGCTTTTTCATGGAATGGCACGGAAGTGTCACATTGAAGGTTCCATGATAACGCGCCGTATGAACACATCTGCGGATGTTTCTAAATTCAAAATTTTACTATTTCATGTTTAAATGTTGAATTCTGCTTAAGCCGGTGCTAGGGGGCGTGGACGGTAACTTTGCACTTTCCAGTACCGTCCATGAACAGGCTCAATCAAACCGAGCCTGCAACATTTTCAATTTTGCCGTGTTGGGCTTTCTTTGGGAATTCTGTGTTTATCTATTGTATGGGATGATGCATTTATCCTGATTTAAAAAGAAATCATATATTAGATTTAATCTAGCTAATATTCTAGTTGATTTTAATTCTTATTCTATGAATTGAAAGATTTATAAGTAACTTTGTCATTGCTTGTTTCAGTTTCAGTTTTTTAAAGAAATGCATTACGTACTAAAATCTGTAAAATCTGCAGATATAATAGGTATTAATATTGGTTAATATGTAAAGCATCTCTGGTATCGAAAAAACGAATTTGAGTTGTAGAGCACTGTCACGTTTCTTTTTGTGGTCTTTTTAATATAAAAGTGGAAAATTTGAAAATATTGCAGGCTCAGCGTTTGACTGAGCCTGTTCATGAACTGTAGCATAAACCCTACAAGCTACTTGTCAACAGGGTGGAGACTAAAAAAAGGAATTGGAGCACCACACTAAATACCGTATTCCGGTATATACCGGGCAAGGCGCTTGAATCATAAAAATGCTAAAATCTTGCTTTTTTTTACCCAACAGAATAAAACTTTAATAGGTCTAATTCATCTTTTCACACCGATTTATGTATGATAATGAATGAAAAATGTAAAAATCGGCCGAAAAAAAACCGATAATTGTCTACTTTGTGATCATGATTTCTGCGAGCGTCTAGAGGTACTGCTCTAATCCTGTATTGAGTTAAATCCCAGTCAACGTCACCTTACGGCCAGCTTTAAGCAGTATTCTTTATTTATATATTGACATGATGAAACTTGAATTTGAGATAAACCCGCAGATGTGTCACATGGGGGTGATCATGGAACTCTCAATGTGACAATATCGTGATAATTAATGAAAAGATGCTTATGGTAAAGGAATGTGTGTGTCCTTTACGAGAACATCATGTTCGAGAATCAGATGGAATAAGTCTTCTATATCGCAGATATACGACAATAAAATGTGCAATAACTCAATAAAAACAAATTAAGAAAGTCAGTAACACCAGGAAAATACCCATAATAAAATGTGTGTACATTAAGAAACATTTTAAAATTGATATACTGAGAATTAATGTGTGGTTGTTTTTGTTATGGATTCTACGCGGAATTTCCGAAAAGAATTAGTAATTTTTTTGAAAAGGTTACTATAAATAACTAAAGAATGACATGGTGGGTATCCACAACATTAAGACGTAATGGTAAAACCATTCATTTAAAACCATTTACTGCTCTATACTTATACATGTACATTATACAATCGATTGTCAACTCAATTGAGCAAAACTGCGTATACATGTATATTTAACGCACAAAAACACAAGTTTATCTTGCGAAACTATGTTTGAAGTTCATTTTAAATCTTGTAGAGGATCAGAAAATATTCTAATATTTAAGAAGAAGTTTTTGTTTTTTTTTCATTTATTTATATGTTACTAATGTACAAGGTTTCGTGCTGTTTTTTCAGTGTTTTCCCTTTGGTAACAGTAACTGGTTAGTTTAGACATTGTTATTGTATTTAAAC